GGAGGAGCGACCCCCTCTCCTCCCCCCGCCCGAGCCGGCAAATGAACTCGGTGCGAGCCGCCAACAGGAGACCCAGGCGAGTGTCCAGGCCGCGCCCGGTGCAGCAGCCGCCTCCGCCGCCACCGCCGCCTCCTGCTGCCGCTCAGCCGCCTCAGCAGCAGCAGCAGCAACCATTGCAACTGCCACCGCCTCCGCCGCCGCCACCACCGGAGAGGAACAACAACGCCGCCGCAGCTGCTGCCGCCGCCGCCGCCGTCGCCGCTGGGGAACGGGGTAAGGAAAGAAAAGGACGGGGCCAGCGGCCATGGGGCTGGGAGGGAGAACCGGGTGGGGTTCGTGTACACAGCGCTCACACGCATACACAATTGCGAGCCCAGTCGGCCTTTTTTTTTTAACCTCCACCCATTAGGCGCACAGGCCGCGCTTTGTTTGGCTCAGGCCCTGCTGGAGGGCTGTGGGTGGACCGCGGGAGGGGGGCTCGTAAGCTCCCTGTAGGTTCTCCTCAGGTATTGGGGGGGGGGGAAGATAAAGAGTAGAGCGCCTCCTATGGGCTCCCTGGAGGAAGCCAGAAAACGGGAGAGAGAGAGGAGAGAGGCCCAGGTTTGCTTCTCCCTCCTGCCTGCCTTCCCTCCCTCGTCTCCCTCCCCACCGCAGCTTTTGGCCCCGGGAAGGGAGGGCTGCCCCTTGTGTCCGAGACACGCTGTGTATCCCAGTAACTTGTGTTGACACCTTTCCTTTCATTCGCCTTCCCCGCGTCTCCCCCCCGTCCTTTCCTCACCAACCCCCCCTTGCTTTCCTTTCTCTTTTTGTAATGGTGTCTCATGGAGACAAGAACTGCTCTCGCTCCCCCTCCCCTTCCTCTTCCTCTCGCTCTCCTCCCTCGCCCTGCCCCAGTGTTTTTGCTGCGCAGTTTGCATTCAATGTGGCTTTGGTTACCGGGTGGCGGGAGGGGGGGAAGAAAAGAAAGAGAGAAAGATCTATGGGGGGGTGCTCCATGGGATAGAATGGAAGAGAGAGAGATTGCAGCCCTGCATACGTAGTGGCTGCGTTTCTGTCGGGGTAGATCATCGGCCATTTATTTATCTCCTTCTCTTCCTCCTCTCCTTCCCCCTCCTCTCCCCGCGCCCTTTGAGTCTCTCGCTCGCCACCTTCACCCATCGCCCTAAATAAAAAACCAATAAATATTTGCTCTCGGTGTCAAAAGTGTTGAGACTGAGAACAGAGGAGCCCAAGCCTTTTTCTTGCGCGTGTGAAGGTTTCGCCTCTTTGCCTGTGCGTGCCTGACCGGGGCCTAGTGCAAAAATGTTGCTCGCTTCCAACATAGTTACGGAAGCACCATTGTCTGAAAGAGCTGGAAATGTAATCGGGATAGGGATTCCTCTGTTTCGTTTCTAATTCGAAATGAAGGGCCTAAACGATTATTTTGAAAATAAAGGCAAGGTCTGGCAGGGCTTTCTTTAGCAGGGCGGCCCGCAGGCGGCCGCGCGGGGGGGGGGGTAGTGGAAGAGAAGAAGGAGGCTGATCGTTCCTTACTAGGCTACATAACTGTTGCCATATTAATTGGCTGGGCTTCTGTCCCTGTGTTGGTGTGCTGTCGTCGCAGGGTTATTTTCTAAAGGCGAAGAATAGGGGTGGAATCGAAGGAGACATTTTGCATGTATTATCTGGTGGGTTGGATTTTTTTTTATGCGTTGCACCTATCCTATGATAAAAGGAGAATGACCTGTGATACTGTGGTTTAAGACGTTTAACAAAAACATACCTCCAACCGGTGTTGTCAGTGAAATGTCTTTTGTTTGAGTGTGTAGGACAAATGTACTGTATTTGGAAGCAAAATGTTTCAGCCTTAAGAGTATACTGTGATTCCCTAAAGATTGTTTTGAATATATAACTAAAACAGCAACTCCTTAAACAAAGAGAATGTAAAATACTGGAAGCCTTTTAATTCTTCCTTTCTTCCATGTCTCTCCCTCCCCCCATTGTTCAGTATAAGCATTTTGTCCAAGCTAGATAGCTATGTATTGTGAGAGGATGTGATGTCTTATGCCCAATTGTGAATTTAGTGTAAAACATTTTTTTAAATTACATCAGTTACATAATTACAGGTCTAGTAAAGTGTCATTTAAAACATAGGGAATTGCTTCCTTCTTCTGTATATCATGCATTGCAGACATTTGCTCTCATATAGCATGTGCATGCAGTATACTTCTAGGTATGAGTTTATGTATTGATCGCTTCATATATTTGTGCACAGTGTTTGAAAACTGGAGAAAATATTGGTAGAACACATGCAAATTATATATACTGAAGATTGTAACATAAATCCTGTCAATGTTAGACCTCAAAGGTTGGCTCACATTATTCAAATACAGTAGTACTCATTTGTTACCTCTAGAAATTGTTTTCCCTAGTGGAATACTCTGAAGTTTGGTAATACCCCAGTGTTTGTGTATAATGTCAGTATTCATTCAAGTATAATATATAGGCAATCACAGCAGCTCATTTGAAGGTAATATTCTGCAGCTTGGTAAATAAAACCTGTGCTATTTAGATATATAATAAAAGGAAATATAATAAAAGCCTGATATATTTGGGGCCTAAAATACCTACTGATCTTTATATATGAAACACACTGGATATAGTATATTAGAGGTTTTTCTTGTTTTCATAATTTTAGAGATCAATAGTCACGTATATCTGTCTATCCTAAGCTGATTTTGATTTCTTCATAAGTAATATATTCACCTAACCCTCCCTAAATTCAATTCTAGTATTCTAAACATCTGTTCAGGTGTGTCAGGCTTTGATCCAAAGCATGATGGTTCAGAATTAAATTAAACTGAGAAATTAGGATTCATTGAAATGTGTAGATCAGATCTGTTAAAATTGTTGGCCTTCCTTCTGACAGACCATGAGTATATGACAGGTCAGTAACATTAAGAAATCACAAGTTTAGTTTCTTCTTTGTAGTCTTTAACAGTTAGTTTAGTGGGGGGAGATAGTGTGACAAATGTTATTTGTTGAATCCTTCAGATTGCTTTAGAAACTTAAAGTGGTGTAAAAGCAACATAAGGAATGCTGCATAGTTTAGGTGGTTAGGTTTCTGGCTACTGAGCCAGAGGATGGGAGTCAGATATCCACTGTGACTCCCTGGCAGGTGCTGAACTTAATGATCCATAGGGTACCTTCCAGTTCTGCTGTTCTAAGATTATTATTTTTATTATACTGTATATAAAATGAAATGTGGGTTGATTAACAAGCCTGCAGATTTGGAATTGTTTTTCAGTGTACAGTATGTGGTCTTGGCAGCTTAGTTTGACTGTTCATGTGATAATGTTACTCTTTATCAAAACTGTTTTGCTGACATATATGTCATGAGGTGTAAATTGTACAGTTTATTGTAGAAAGGCTGGTGATTTGGGATTATGCTGAACAGTTACATGTAAATATTTATGCAGGGAAAAAAGTCTAAAAGAATTGGGAAGAATTGCAGTTGTGTGAAACAGTCTTCTTTAGTGTACAAAAGAGGAAGTGAATTATACAGTACTGAAATCTGTATCTTTGATTCTCATTTTCAGTAGGTCATTCTGGAATTTGCCTAATGATATTGTTGAAAAGCTTCCAGCTCTTGCTGTTCTCCCAAGTATTTGGGGGTACCTTAAATGATGGTAAGGGAAGAAGCTGAGCCTTCTCTGTTATGGTGCCTTAAGAATACCTTTGTAGATCTTTTC